ATCTGATGAAGAAACACATTTCCATTTATTTTTAAATAAAAAGTGAAATTATTCCAAAAGTTTAAGATTTCTTTGCTCTTAATCAACTGCATATTAAGTGATTACAACACTTCAATATAAGTTTTAACAATCATTAATAGCACAATTAAAAAATAAATGTATTGCGAAAAGTATTAAAGAATAAGCAATATAAAGTATGAAGCACAAAAATTAAAATAAATTCAGGTCGCTGCCCTTGGTCGTGGGGTTGTGGTTGGTACCCGGGCCACAGCAATCATGGTAAATTTAATTCAGATGGTGCATGACCACTGGGTTGATATCCTGAACCCTATGGGATTTGTCGTTGGATGCTATCTGGACAGAAAGAATGATGAAAAACATATTACCTTCCAGAATAAGAGTTCATTGTTTAAAAGGGAATTGAGACCCAGTGAGGAAGTTATCTGGAAGTGAAGGCCATGGCTGAGTTACAGAATGTTTGCATTTCAAAAACCAGGCAAAAAATAATAATGTTTATTATTTGAGAAAATAAATAAGTAAATTCAGTGGGCTTGGTAGAATGGAAATACAACCCCAGGAAGAAATTTTTAGCTATTTTAAATTTATGAACAGAAAAACTGATATCCACTTAAAAATAAAACAAGGGGGGAGGGGTCAAAGTTTTACAAAATTATTTGACAGATCACAACCCTAAACAAAAAGATACTTAAATATAAATCTATGTTGATAGATCAACAGATGAATACTGAAAGGAAGGAAACGAATAAAAAATACAATCACTCCAAATCTGAAGAAACTTCCATAAACACATAAATAAAAAACCTAAAATCCGAATAATGAAAGCTCTTTAAAATAATATACAAAGTCAGTTTTGAGTTAGTAAAAACTAATAAGGCTTTTCTGAAAATGTAGTAAGAATCCTAAATAAACAGCCTTACATTCAAGTCATAGGGTCCAAAGAGAGATAATGCAAGGGATTCAAGTTAGAAAATGTCTTCTACAGTGAATATAGAGGAAATTAAATTATATGCATTACTGCTTAATAAATACAACTGTTCAGATTGATACATAGTATGTGAAGCTCTAGTTGAAGATAAAATGGCCAATTAAAGAGAAGGACTTCTGTGATGGCTAAATGACAGTATCCAATCTCACTTTATAAGGGGCAAAGTAAACAAAGACTCTCAAGGTCTATCTCCCAAAAATATTGTTCCTGATGTGAACACCACCTTACCTTACATTCTGAGTAGGATTCCACCTTTCAGAGGGCAGTTCTCCGCTCTGTGGGTCATCTACAGGTGGATGAAGAATTGAAATGCATACATCTCCATTCTACGAGAAAAATACCGCATTTAATGAATACTCTCAAAGAGGTTTGCAAAAATGGACATCAGGTCCTAGAAAACTTCGCCTATCAGGAAAGACAACAATTCACTACTTTCAAAATTAAAAATCAAAGAAGCATTAATATTATAAATATTCATTCTGACCAATCTTCAAGATATATTTAATTAGCAAAGGTATCTTATGTCTGTGACACCACCCCTATAATTTTTTATAAATTTAAAAACAGAAACATAAAAGAATCAAAAGTCTTGAAGAGTTCGTTGATTTAGATTCTTAGTGATTACATGTAAGGTTTTCAAGGCTTTGTAAATCTAGATGGGAGTAGCCAACATCATCTTTCCCCCTTTGTGTGACTGGTGGAGTTTGATTTGCCAGTTTCAAGTTAGCAGGCCAATGCTTAACCGACAACAACCACTAGGGGTACTGCACTAATAAACACCACCCACCTTTAATATCAAACACTTCAATAACTATGACGTACAGTAAGTGCCTTACAGAGATTTAACCATGATTTCCTTAGAGTTCTTCCTGGAAAGGAGAACTCAACACTATGGTTATATTTTGATTTATGAACTATATCTAATTTAATAAAAGCATACATGGATTTCTATCATGCAATAGAGTGCTTACTATTGAATAGAAAGACAGTTTGAGTAACATATAGTCCCTGTGTGCTTGAAGCTTAGTCTAAAATGGAGGATATGATTTAAACTTTTTTAAAAAGAGACAAAACTACACACAGAAAGACATACTTATAATCTGAGGCATAGAACCTGAATGAACACGTGTATATATACAAACACAAATATATATTTACACATACATAAACAATCATATCAAGATAATATTGCTTCTTTTAAAAATTGTGGTATGTTTCCAACAAATCATCTACCATTTCAACATTTTTCATATGAACAATTTAATGACTTAATTGTGTAACTGCTCATATTTAAAAGGTGAGTAACATTTTAATAAAGTGAATGCCAAATATTATATTCTAAAACCATTATAGTTAAATGCTATAAATTAAAAATAACTACAGAAACAAAGAGAAATACAGATGAAAGTTTCCTACATAAAATATTAGCAAAGCAAACCATAAAGAGATAAGGAAGGGCACTTTATAATGCTCAAAGGAACACGTTAGCAGGAACCTGTAAGCATAGCATAATAAATATATATGCGCTAAATGAGAGACACACAAAATCTGTCAAACTATTCAGAAAATGATCAAAGATATAACAGACTCAACAATTATACTAGGAGACTTTAATACACCATTTTCAGGGAAAGATAAATCATTGGGAAGAAAGCTCAGAAAAGAGACTGTAGAGCTAAACACTACAATTGGGCAACTAGATCTGATAGACCTATTTAGAGTTTTCCATTCAAATGCACAAAATAATACACATTCTTCTCAAGTGTGCATGGCACATTTTCGAAAATAGACCACATGCTGGGACACATGTCAAACCGGAGTAAATTCAAACACATAGAGATTGTACAGATGTCTTTCTCCGAACATCATGCCATAAAGCTGGAGACCGATAAAAGGACGGCCAGAAAAACATGGGCCAACAACTGGAGAATGAATAATGATCTTCTGCGACATGAGTGGGTACTGATCCAGATTAGAGATCAAAAAGTTTCTAGAAGCTAATGAGAATACTTTGTATCAAAACCTATGGGACACGCAAAGGCAGGCATCAGAGGTAGCTTGATTGCAATAGGAGCATATATGAAAAAGGCAGAGACTTATGACTGATACGCTCTCACAAAACCTCCAGCAATTAGAACAGAGTCAACAGAACAATCGCTCCAACAGCAAAAGAAAAGAAATAATAAAAATCAGGGCAGAACTGAACCATTGGGAAGACGAAAGAACAATGCAGAAGATTAATGCAACAAAAAGATGGTTCTTTGAAAGGATCAACAGAATCAATAGACCATGGCAAACCTAAACAAAGAAAGAAAAGAACAAACAACAATAGACAGTGTGTTAGGGTTCTCTAGAGAGCTAAAACCAAATTGCTGATAATTCAATATATTTATTTATAAAGATAATTAGATATATAACAAGAAATGAACTGTCAAATCATATACAGATAAATATATAATACAAGAAA